GGGAGAGAGAGACAGAGAGAAACATCAATGATAAGAGAGAATCGTTGATGGCTGCCTCCTTCCTGCACGCCTCCTACTGGGGATCGAGCTTGCAATCCAGGCATGTGCCCTTGACGGTATTGAACCTGGGACACTTCAGTCCACAGGCCAATGCTCTGTCCAATGAGTCAAACCAGCTAGGGCTCTACTCTTATTTTTAAGGAAAATTATTTATATAATCAGAAGGAAGAAAAAAAAGAAAAAAGAGCATTTTTCAGTTAAGACTCCAGAAAGACAAACAACTCACCACAGAAATGGCAACCTAAGAAGGCTTGATTTAAAGAAGAAACTCAAGCCTGACTGGTGTGGCTCAGCAGTTAACCTATGAACCCAGAGTTCATTGTTCGATTACCAGTCAAGGCACATGTCCAGGTTGTGGGCTCAATCTCTGGGGGTTGAGGGGCATGTCGATCAGGGATTCTCTCTCATCATTAATGTTTCTCTCTCTCCCTCTCCCTTCCTCTCTGAAATCAATAAAAATATATTTAAAAAAAAGAAAAAATAAGAAATTCAACACTTAAGGTATTCAAGACAAAACTTCTGTCAGCCTAATAATCAATGTTACCAAACAAAGATTTGTTAATTTCTTTATATATATAAATATATATTTTTATTTATTTATTTTTAAGAGAGAGGAGGGAGAGAGATAGAGAGTTAGAAACATTGATCAGCTGTTCCCGCAACCAAGGCATGTGCCCTTGGCCGGAATCGAACCTGGAACCCTTCAGTCGCTCTATCCACTGAGCCAAACTGGTTTCGGCTGTTAATTTCTTCAAATGTGTATTAAGAACCACATGCCAAGCAATATGTTGACCATGAGAGTTCCAAAATGAGTAAGCTAGTCCCTGACCTCCTAAAAACATACAGGTCTGTAAAGCAGACAGACAAGAAAATAATGTGACAGGTCCATGCAGTACAACCTATGAGGTGAGCACACTGAGGACACCGTGTTAGGGAAGCCCAGGAATGGCCCTTCAATCAGGATCAGCTCTTAGTTTCTCAGATAACTTCACACCACCCTCCTGGGAGCAAAGCCAACCCTTCCACTGACATAATAGTACTATGGGAATGAAAAGGTGCAAAACACTAGCTATGGGGGAGGGGGAGGGAGAGGGACATCAACCTGAGAGAGACTTACATAAATTGGTTGCCTCCCACATGCACCCCTACTGGGCCTGAGGAACCTGTGACCCTTGAGTCCTAGGTTCATGCTCTAAACACTGACTCAAATCAGCCATCATAATTTTATAAAGAAATCTGTTATCAACTTAAATTAGTAAGTTAGACCAATTAGTGAAGGGGATGAAGTCTAAGCCCAATAATGACTTTAAACTGTGGAATGAATGCCTTGAGCAATTTTTCTCTTCAAGACTGCAGAAAACTAAAGACCAACCTTTTTGACTGCTGAGGAGGGCTAAACTCATTTATTTTTCACAAGTATGCAATAAAAACTAATTACTTTCTGCTCCCACTCAACACAAAGCAACAGCATCTCCCCTCTCCCCCATCTCCCACCAAAACATCCTATATTTGAGTACTTTAATCTTACCCCATAAGAATCTCAGATTGTGGCCCAGCCAGGTGTGGCTCAGCAGTTGAGCATCGACCCAGGAACCAAGAGGTCACTAGTTTGATTCCCGGTCAGGGCATATGCCCAGGTTGCAGGCTCGATCCCCAATGTGGGGCATGAAGGAGGCAGCCAGTCAATGATTCTCTCTCATCATGGATGTTTCTATCTCTCTCTCCCTCTCTCTTCCTCTCTGAAATCAATATATATATATATATATATATATATATATATATATATATTTTTTTTTTTTTTTTTAAAGTGCAACTGGACTTAAAAATTCTTTAAAAAAAAAATCTCAGATTGTGCCCGGCTGGTGTGGCTCAGTGGTTGAACATCTACCTATGAACCAGGAGATCATGGTTTGATTCCAGGTCAGGGCACATGTCTGAGTTTGGGGCTCAATCCCCAGTGTGATTGAGGAGGCAACCAATCGATGATTCTCTCTCATCATTGATGTTTCTATCACTCTCTCTCACTTTTTCTCTGAAATCAATAACATTTAAAAAAAAAAAAAAAAAAAAAAAAAAAAAAAAAAAGAATCTCAGCCGAAACCGGTTTGGCTCAATGGATAGAGATCGGCTTGGGGACTGAAGGGTCCCAGGTTCAATTCCAGTCAAGGGCATGTACCTTGGTTGCGGGCATATCCCCAGTAGGGGGTGTGCAAGAGGCAGCTGATCGATGATTCTATCTCATCGATGTTTCTAACTCTGTATCTCTTTCCCTTTCTCTCTGTACAAAATCAATAAAATATATTTAAAAAAAAAAAAAAAGAATCTCAGATTTCAATAAAGTTACAATGCAAAACCTATTTCTCTAAGTATGTTCTCATCCCCCCAGGGTGTTCCTACAGTAATACTAGTTAAGTATTAACAATCAAGGAAATCAGAAAATTCTCAGAATAGATACGATAAGCTGCTTGGATTTTTTTTTTTTCAATTTGTTATTGTTCATGGATTCCAAAGTTCAGAGTACATATAATATTACCAGGAAAGTGTTTCTAGTTTTTCAGTGCCCGAATTTAAATACAAATTACTATTTAATTATATGCAATTTTCCCTCTAAACCTATGTATACTAATCAGTCTCCAGATATTTTTAAAAAACAAACAACTAATCATGTTTACTAAAAAAATGTATTGCCTAACAACCAAAAAGTTCTAACTTATCAAAAAAGTGGTCACTGTCAGTTCTACCCATGAATGACAGTTTGACTGACAGACAAGCTGTTCTGAAAAGATTAGGAATTTCCAGTGATGGCAGGAGGCACATACAGTATCTGTAGATACTTTAATAATAAAACTACTTCAACATAAAAAAATTCAGAGCCTACAAAGTCATATATGTGAACTGCAAGCTATCTAAGTGCATGCATGTTTAAAAAGTAAATAAATAGCCGGGACCGGTTTGGCTCAGTGGATAGAGCGTCGGCCTGCGGACTGAAAGGTCCCGGGTTCGATTCCGGGCAAGGGCATGTACCGTGGTTGCGGGCACATCCCCAGTGGGGGGTGTGCAAGAGGCAGCTGATTGATAACTCTCTCTTATCGATGTTTCTAACTCTCTATCCCTCTCTCTTTCTCTCTGTAAAAAATCAATAAAATATATATATTTTAAAAATAAAATAAAAAAATAAAAAGTAAATAAATAAACAAATAGAAATAATAAATAAATAAAAAGAAAGAAAGAAAGAAAGAAAGAAAGAAAGAAAGAAAGAAAGAAGCAGGACAAAACTGTCTATACTCAAATCAACATGAGAAATCATCCTTTCTTTGAGCTTTTTAAGAATTGAAAACTTAAGGTTCTTTACACATTTCCAAAACAGAGCAAAAATATATATACACACACTTGGAATAATTATAAAGGCAGTATCTAATAAAATACACTTCTTTTTCAGATATTAGAGTTTGTATACATGGGGGGGGGGGGGCTGACATAAAATTCTAATACCACCACATAGTCTATGTTGGAGGACACAATCACAATAATAGGATTTACTTGTGATGGACACACAGTTCTAGGGACTTCACATTTTAACACATTTAGTGTTAATAACAACCCTGTAAGACACGTAGTATTATGATCATCTCCATTTATACAAATGAAGAAACTAAAGCACAGACAGATGAACACACCCGATGTCACGTAGCTGGTAAGAAGCAGAGAATGGATTTTAGCCACATCAGTCAGGCTCCAAAGTTCATGGTAACCAATACACTATGTTAACCAATACACTATAGTAAGGGTCATGCAAGAGTCGGCTTTGTTTTGTTTTTTTTTTTAACCTGAAAACATTTTTTAATCTCAAAAAGATAGCTTTGCAATAAGAAAAGTACAGGCTTTGGATTCAAACAGACTCAAGTAAACCTCCTCCCCCCATCCCTACGAATAAAGTCAGAACCTCAGCTTCCTCCTATGTGAAGTGACGATACTTAAGTTATGGTGGAGGTCAAAGATTATAACTAAGGTGCCAAGTACAGTATACAAGACAGAAGTAAGCTCACGGACACTTAGAAGATGCTCGGTTGGACTTCGCAATCCACGAGTCTCAAACATTGTAGGACAAATACCGTATGTGCGCCCATTTTTTTTTAATTTTTTTTTTTAAGAATCGCCCCTGGCTTTCCATAAACTTTCAAGCCACCGGAGTACATACATAGCAGGTACTAAAAGCATGAGCTCTCTTTCCCTTCTCGTCGTCTAAAACGCCCCTTTCTCCACTAAGAATGACACACCAAGGCTTCACAGGAAATCTCAATCATTCCCCACCCTTCCCCTGGCTTGCTAACTCGTTTTCTAAAACGACCCTCAAACGCCGCTCCATCCCGCCCTTCTCCGAGAGGAACAAAAGGCGTCCGTTCACTCGGGAAGAAGACTCCTCTGACACTCGCTCACTAGCTGCAGGAAGCACCACGCGGGCAGGAGAAAGAACCGAGCGGGGACCAGGGCTCCCGAGCTGTGGCACCACAGAGACCAGACGCCCGGCGCTGCAGGAGGAGGAGAAAGCGTTTCCCAAAACTACTGGACAGCCCAGAATTCCGCCCCCTGGGACCCTCTGCCCCCACCCCACACACCCAGTCCTCCCTCGCCCTGAAAGCCGGGTGCAGGCAGGTGCCCCGCGCGGGCGCGGCGGCGGAGACGGACGTTACCAGGGCTGGAGGGCGCAGCGCGGCGACGTCCCAGCTCCGCGGCCCCGGGCAGAACCCCGGGCCCGGACTCGCCTCCCAACAAGCGATCAGAGTACAGATCTCCACCCCGGCTGGGAACCGGCTCCCGGCTTTTCCGTTTTCCAAAGCGACTTCCGCTTCCGGGCTATCCTTTGCCGGAAGCAGTACGCGGAGGACGTAAAAGCGTCGCGCCGGCGGTGATTCCGGAAGAAACAAGAGGGCGGCGTGAGCATGGTGAGAGGGAAGGGTTGAGGAGGGAGGGATATTGGCAGACCACATTTGAGAGGTTCAGGGAGTCATCCCCTGGCCGATGTTCATGCCCCTGCTTATTTGAATCATAATCATAGTTCTTAGATGGCTCGAAGCGGTGCCTGTCGTCATGCTCTAGAGTCCAGTGTTTCCCAAACTTTTGACATATGTGTGCCCTATAATTTCTATAATTTTCATAACACTGAGTACCCCTGGTACTCATGAGAACGTAGAATTAGGTGCAGCTAAGCACGGGGCAGTGCATATCCCCACCAAACTCCGGTGCAACGGGTACCCCCACCCAACTCTTCCCGTACCCCTGGGGGTGCGCGTACTGCACTTTGGGAAACACTGCGGAGACTCTAGAGTCAAGAGAGTAGGAGTGGGCCTGATTGGGGCAGAGAGGATCAGAGGAACTGGGATTGGTTTTGTTTTGTTTTGTTTTGTCTTGTTTTGTTTTTGAGGGAAAAGGGGAAGGGAATGGGCAAAAGAAAAGAAGGAACTTAAGAACATCGGGATGTATTTCCAACTCTTAACCCTAAAACTTCTGTTTCAAGGGGAAGCAAAAGAAAACAAGGAAGTATGCGACCATGAAGCGGATGCTTAGTCTCAGAGATCAGAGACTGTAAGTGTGTGGAATCGACTGGGTTCATAGACTGCCCAAAGATAGAGAAGTCACGACGGGATAAGTAGTTAAAACTTTTGTTGTGACTTTGTATTCACTTTTCATGGCATTGTGTATTGTGTATATATCATTGGGTATATATAGCATGAGAGAGCCAAGTGTATAACAGTCACATAGCTGCTGAAGGAGTACCCTGGTGAATGGGACTGGAATTAAACATCTAAGCGTTCACTTTGTGCCACCATCTCATATATTTTATCTACTATATCACATGCAAGCCTCCTAATGTGTCTGTGAAGTGGGTAAGATTATGTTTATGTTCTTGTTATTAGACTACTACATTTCATAGGAGAAAAAATTGAAAGAGGATAAGGTCAGAGATCATGTTTATCTTGACACTAAAATATTGATCTTGACACTCAAATATTTATTTATTTATTATTTTTTAATATATTTCATTGATTTCTTACAGAGAGGAAGGGAGAGGGAGAATTAGAAACATCGCTCAGCTGCCTCCTGCACACCCCCCGCTTGGGGATGTGCCCTCAACCAAGGCACATGCCCTTGACAGGAATCAAACCTGGGACCCTTGAGTCCGCAGGCTGACGCTCTATCCACTGAGCCAAACCAGCCAGGGCTCAAATATTTTTTTAAAGAAAGAATGGGACTGCCAGGCTGGGAGCGGCCAGGCCCGGGGGAGCAGGCGGGTCGGGTGCGGCCAGGCCCGGAGCAGCGGCTGCCAGGCTGGGAGCGGCCAGGCCCGGGGGAGCAGGCGGGGCTGGTGCGGCCAGGCCCGGAGCAGCGGCTGCCAGGCTGGGAGCGGCCAGGCCCGGGCGAGCAGGCGGGTCGGGTGCGGCCAGGCCCGGAGCAGCGGCTGCCAGGCTGGGAGCGGCCAGGCCCGGAGCAGCAGCAGCCAAGTCCAGAGCAACTAGGTCGGGAGCTGCAGTGACCAGACCCGGAGCAGCTGGTTGTGGAATGAACCAGAGCAACAGAGGCCAGGCCAGCTCGCTCCTTGCCTGCCCCTGCCCCACAGCTGCTTCTCAGACATGGCTGGAAACTTTCGTGGGAACTTGAGGGTCTGCTGAATCAAGTGATGAAGGCTTAGATCTGGATGTGTTGAGTTAGTTTAGGACTGGGGTGTTGATCTGTGAGTGCCTTGGGTGGGGCCTGGATGAGGCTGGTGGACCTATTGGGAAATGTCTTTTGTGTGAAGTGTATCATTGGGCATGTGGAGGTATTATTGATATGAGAAAATGCTAAGTAACTGATTTACTATCTGAAAAGGGATTTACTATTGGGGAAATTGAGGGAAGAAGAGACTGAACATAAACTGCACCTATGGATGAGAACAATGGGGGATGGGGAGGGGGCATAGGGTGGGGTGGGAACCTGGTGGAGGGGGGAAGAAATGAGGAACCTTTGTAATAATGTGAACAATAAAGATTGATTTAAAAAAAAATAAATAAATAAATAAATAAAAAGAATGGGAAACACCTAGATGTCTTTTATAAATTTCATAAGAATTCAGATGTCTGTGGAAGGAGAGAGTGAAATAATGTTCCCTATTATAAGGAGGGCGTAAAAAGCTTCACTGCTTCAGTGAAGAATGGACAAAGTTACTAAATAAGGACTGGTATTCGTTGTGTTTAAGAGCCTCAATACAAAGGAGTGGTCATTAGAGCCTTCAGAGTTATTAAATTGTATTTTCTGCCTATAGTGTGTATTTATTATAAAATTTTTAGGAAATTTCCCATTAATATTTTATTTCTAGTTAAAAGTTAAATTTTGTATATATATGGTTACATTTTAGCCCTTTATAAAAGGAATGGGGGTTCCTCCCCCGTTCCAACTGTTGAAGCATCTGAAGATAAACATCAGCCTTTTTACCCACTGCTTGAAAGTGGATTTTGATCTTTAATAAAAAGCTTCTAAGGAAGAAATAATAGTATAACCAACATTTATTTACCCATTAAAAGTTTTATGGGTTTTTGGCTAGAGATTATTAAATTTAATTATGTTTAATGAATTATGTTAACTTCCCATAGTTATTTGTGCTAAAATATATATGTGATATATATCATATATATACATCAATGTAAAAATTTATATATTTACATTAATTACTATATATATAACATATATACATTGATGTAAAAAATGTGTGTTTAGCCCTAGCCAATTTGGCTCAGTGGATAGAGCATCTGCCTGCAGACCAAAGGATCCTAGATTCAAATCCAGTCAAGGGCACATGCCTGGGTTGCAGGCTCCATCCAGCATGTAGGAGGCAGCCAATCAATGATTCCCTCTCATCATTGATGTTTTTATCTCTCTCTTCCTCTCTGAAATCAATTTTTAAAAATCTATTAAATGTATGCTTATACTAATGTAAAGAAGTCACAGAGTAAGCTTTTCTCTGAAGACAAAAAGAAACTTTAAATTTTGAATGAAATTGTAACTGCTATTGTTTTTTCTTCACTGCACTTAATTTACTTTTTTTCCCTAGAAAAGAAAAGGATAGATTAAAACCTAAAAAGAAAGAAAAGAAAGACCCCAGTGCACTCAAAGAAAGAGAAGTGTGAGTAATCAACATTTTCAAGTTTTCCTTTCAAACATTCTAAAACCATAGACCCCTTAGAAATCCAGGATTTCCCAAACTGATTTGCTCAGTCATTTCTAAGTCTAGCACAACTGTGCATATTAAAGTGATACTGGTGAGCATATACTAACTTCAATGATTCAGATGTGTTTTTATTTCATGGAGCAGTAAATTTTTCTCTGAAATCCTGGGGATTAAATCTAATATCATTAATTGTTTTCTTTGCCAAGAATCTTTCAAAAGAAATAATGGTCATTGTTCAACACACTGGCATTTCTTAAAAGAGAGAATGTATCATCAAAAAAAAAAAAAATAGTAAGACTATATTTTCAGAATAAAGGTTATTTCTTTTAAATAAATACATTTAATTTTATGAAACCTCATCTCATTTTGCTTATTTTCCTCATTTTGCCCTAGTGTGGTGATGGATAAACCATCACAGAATTTATTTCCAAGAACAAAGAAAAAAAGAGCTTAATCTATAGCAAACTGTTCCAATTGGAGACTTATTTTGTTCATATCAAAGTATCAATGTAGATATTACTTTGTGTTTTGTTTCTTTCTCTTTCAGCCCCCAACATCCCTCCTGCTTATTCTTTCAATATAACACACAGCTAGGCCCACCTTACCACATCCTGGTTGATACCAACTTTATCAACTTTTCCATTAAGGCCAAACTGGATTTAGTGCAGTCAATGATGGATTGTCTCTATGCCAAGTGTGAGTATCCTACTTTTACATTTCTGTGACATTTTTACAGAATAATCATATTTATCCAAATACTTGAAAAGAAGGGAATGGGGTTCTAGTTAACTTAATTGCTGGGCATTTAATATGCTCACCATAGCAATGACCATTTTTATTAAATTGAAGTATAATGCAAATTTGACTGGGAATAATTAAATTCTCACAATTCAGAAAATACTTACTGTGCTTAGATACTTATTATGGACAATAACTTTGAAAATAGTAAGGGAATTTTCTGTTTCCTAATTCTAGGTTTTAAAATTCTGGGTAAATGAGCAGCCCTGGCCAGTGTGGCTCATTTGGTTGAAGCATCATCCTGTACACCAAAAGGTGACAGGTTTGATTCCTGGTCAGGGCACATACCCAGGTTTCAGGTTTGATACCCAGTCAGGGCACATATGGGGATAGCCAGTGGATGTTTCTTTCTCACATCAGTTTCTCTCTCTTTCCCCTCCCTCCTTTCCTCTCTTCTTACCTTTCTTCCTCCCTTTCTCCCTTGCTCTCTCTAAAATCAATAAAAATTTAATTAATTAAATTCTGGATAAATGAAAAATTATTATATTTATCAGTATATATTCTTATTCTTTTACATTGAGGAGGAAGCATTCTTCATTCCATTCCAGTATAGAAAAGCTAAATAAGACATTTTGTCATTTATAATCACAGAACCAGAAGTGATGATGGTCACTGCTTCCTAGTTTGGTATTTATTTGTACCACAAAAGATCTGGGGTAGTTTATTTACACCTAGATATACAGTTTACCATTCATAAATGTCCCTTGTATAGATGTCCCCTTCTTCAAATGATCTTCCCTCACTATCATGAATGGGAAAAGAAAATTTAGGCCATGTAAAAGGAATAACTTCCTAATAGATCTGTTGCATTTTGTGGTGAGTTTATATTCATAATATTTTCCAGTCACCTGGTTAAAGATACAAGTGAAAAGTAGACTTATGCTTTTCCATAAAGAATGAATTATTGGAATCAAAGGGAAAAAATTGCACTTCTTTTTTTTTCTCTTCTTTTTTTAAAATATATTTTATTGATATTTTACAGAGAGGAGGAAGGGAGAAAGATAGAGAGCTAAAAATGTCGATGAGAGAGAAACATCGACCAGCTGCCTCTTGCACACCTCCTACCAGGGATGTGCCCGCAACCAATGTACATGCCCTTGACCGGAATCGAACCTGGGACCTTTCAGTCCGCAGACTGACGCCTACCGCTGAGCCAAACCGGCTTCAGCAATTGCACTTCTTTAATATTTAAAAGATACTATAATGAGTAACATTATAGAGTGATAGTAATGTAAATGTTGTTTATTGATGTATTAAAACTAGCAAGATGGTGTAAGGATATGATAGATAACAGAATTAAATTCCTTAAATGCCTAAAATGAAACTTTACATTTGTAAAAAGTGTGGCCTTAGCCACACTTAGGTTTGGTTTAGTAGATAGAATGTCAGCCTGCGGATTGAAGGGTCCCGGGTATGATTCCAGTCAAGAGTACATGCCCAAGTTGCAGGCTCAATCCCCAGTGTGGAACATGTAGGAGGCAGCTGAATAATGATTCTCTCTCATCATTGATGTTTCTATCTCTCCCTCTCCCTTCCTCTCTGAAATATGTGTGTGTGTATATATATATATATATATATATATATATATATATTTATTTTTATTTTTTTTTAAGTGTGCCAGCTGAAACCGGTTTGGCTTAGTGGTTAGAGCGTTGGCCTGCAGACTTAAGGGTCCCAGGTTCGATTTCTATCAAAGGCATGTACTTTGGTTGCAGACACATCCCCATTAGGGGGTGTGTAGGAGGCAGCTGATCCGATTTTCTCTCTCATCGATGTTTCTGACTCTCTGTCCCTCTCCCTTCCTCTGTAAAAAAATCAATAAAATATATTTTTTTAAATAAAAATAAAAATTAAAAAGTGTGCCTGGCCACGGTGGCTCAGTAGTTGAGCATCGACCTATGAATTAGGAGGTCATGGTTCGATTCCCAGTCAGGGCACATGCCCTCTTTGCAGGCTCCATTCCCAGTGCAGGGTGTGCAGGAGGCATCAGATCAGTGATTCTCTCTCATCGTTGTTGCTTTTCTCTCTCTCTCTCTCTCTCTCTCTCTCTCTCTCTCTCTCTCTCTCTCTCTCCCCCTCTCTCCCCTTTCCTCTCTGAAATCAATAAAAATATATTTTGAAATCAATAAGATATATAAATTTTAAGTGACTGCATAAGTTTATTATATTACTATACGAAGGTAACCACCAAATGAGGAAAACAGCTAATAGAGTAAAATAATTATCTTTTTAAGGATCAGAATTGATGGGGTAGGAAAGTTTCAGGGGATTGTTATTCATTCATATAGGCCTTTCTATATTTCTTTCTTTTTTTTCTGTATTTCTTTTTAAAGCTATGTGTAAGTAATACTTTAAATTTTTTTAAAAAATCTCTTAGAATTAATAAAGATTAATCAAGTTGGAGCACTGACATGGCTATAAGAGTGAACTAGAAAGAAAGACACTAAACGTGGTGTATTTCCATGGTGTTTCTTAGAGTTGCCTCAGCTACTTCTCCAGCTTCTCACAAATGCTGTGACCTGTTTGTAAATGAGATGAATCAAGGGTACAAGCCCAGCCCCTTGGAGGTGAATTGTTTCCTTAATGCGATAGCTCCACCATTATTATCTAGATCAATGTTTCCCAAACTTTTGACATATGTGTACCCCTTCTATAATTTTCATAACGCTGAGTACCCCTCATACTCGTGAGAACGTAGAATTAGGCGCAGCTAAGCACGGTGCAGTGCATATCCCCACCAAACTCCAGTGCAACACGTACCCCCACCAAACTCTTCCCGTACCCCTGTGGGTACGCATACCACACTTTGGGAAACACTGCAAGACAGCTATAATGGCTTTTCTAAAAACAAACTTTTTAAGTTAATAATACCACTTTTTGCAGTCTTTTGTGTAAGTTAAAGTAAAGTTTAAGTTTTAAGTAAAGTGCATACTCACTTATCTAGGAGATTAACTGTTCTAAACTCTGCTCACTAATTTTTCTTCACTTGTCTTTATACCTAAAGGAAGTCCTTTATATTCTTCTTGCCTTGAAGATGTCCCTTTGACCTTTCCATAGTTCCTGGCATATTCCATTTCTATCTGATACTCCAACAAGAAAGAATAGTTAGCTTCCCATCAGCTTTCTTTTATGCCCATCAGTCCTCTTTCCTATTTCCATTTCTTTATAGTGATTTTTTCTAGGCCTACTTGTGTGATCCAGATGCAAGCCCTTGCTTGCTTCACTGCTACATGGCCCTGAAATTAATCCTCTTAAGGGCATATATTGCCTTCTGATTCCATGATGATCTGATCTTACTGACTTCATACCTCTATTTTACAACTGCTTTTTCTTCTAAGTATTATATTTTAACATTTCTTTGCTTTCTAAAGTATTAATGTACTTGAAAAAATATAAAGCATTAAAAGAAAAAGAAAGTTCCCTATAATGCCTTACCTCAGAGAGGGTAGGTTTTAAAAATTCATATACAGTTTCTTTAGGGTAAAGGTTAGTTTCTTTTTCTTTTATAAATGAAAATGGATCATACATTACTTACTATGTATATTTGTGCTTTTTTTTTTTTTTAACTGTTTTGAGATATAAGTCACATACCATATATTATACCCATCTAAACTAATAAAAGGGAAATATGCGAATTAAACTAGGTCAACCAGACATCGTCCGGATGTCCAACTTCTTTCCGGCCAAAGCCAGGGTGGGGGGCCGAGGCAGAGGCGGGTAGGGGTGATCAGGCCAGCAGGGGAGGGCAGTTAGAGGGTGATCAGCGAACCTGCCCAGGTTTTGGGCTGGATCCCATTAAAGGGGTGTGGCAGGTGACCAATCAGTGTTCTGCTCTCAGCGTTTCTCCCTCCCTCTCTCTTCCTCTCTCTCTCAAAATCATTTTTTTAAAACCCACATTTTTATTTTTAAAAAACAAAAGAACCACAAAACTGTGGATCCTTAGCCACCATCCCTAAACTCTTCCCTTTCCCACCATTCCTAGGCAACCACAATTTGTTTTCTGTCTCTGTAGATTTGGCTATTGTGGGTATTTCATTAAAATGGGGTCATAAAACGTTTGGTTCTCTTTTATTTAGCATAACATTTTCAAGAGTCATCTATGTTAAAGCATGTTCCTCATTTCTTTGTATTACCAAGTAGTATTCTATTGTATGGATAGATTCTATTGTATCCATTTCTCCTTGATTTTGAAAAAATATATCATGAATGTCAGTACTTCTAGTTTTTACCCTGCTATAAAATAAGGTTGTAGTGAATATCTTTGTGAATATCTGTTAAAGTGAAGTATTTTTTTAATTGAGTTTTAGAGGGAAAGGGAGAGAGAAAGATGTGTTGTTCCACTTATTTGTTTTCATTGGTTGATTCTTGTATGAGTCCTGACCAGGAATTGAATCCACAGCCCGGCCATGTGCCATAACTGGGAACTGAACCATGACCTCCTGGTTCATAAGTCAATGCTCAACCACTGAGCCACATCAACCAAACTCATGGTTCTTCCTAAGATTCTTGGCAAGATATAATTCAGAGATAGTAAAATCTGTTTATTCACAAGTTCTTTTATTAATATGTATTTTGTGCTTTTTTTTTTTTTTTCTGGCAGGTATCCCTTGTATAACTGACTGTGTAATGGCTGAAATTGAGAAATTGGGACAGAAGTATCGAGTGGCTCTAAGGTAGGAAGAAGCTGGTTGGTCTAGATTTGTTCCAGATTGGTATACTGAATATTCTTTTAACCTTTCTTCATCTGTTTGCTGTCCAAAGATTTCTTAGCTGAGTAGATAAATAAAAATATAAAATTAGTTAACTATGGTCAAGAATACAGACATTTGAAGTCTAGAGACATTTTGAGCTGAAGTCTTTTTTAAAAATTACATTTGTTGGGAAACATTGGTTAATAACATTATATATTATAGGTTTCAGGTGTACAACTGTATAATACATCATCTGTGTATCCCATTTTGTGCTCATCACCCAAAGTCTAGTCTCCTTTTGTTGCCCTTTTACTCTCTTCACCATCTTCCTCCTGCCCCCTTCTCCTCTGGTAACTGTTGTTTGTGACTGTTTTGTTTATTCATTAGTTGTTTTTTGTTTTTTATATCTCACATATGAGTGAAATCATGTTCTTGTCCTTTGCTGTCTTATTTTGCTTAACATGATACTCTCAAGGTCCATTCATGACACAGATGCAATATTTCACCTTTTCCCATTGTATATATGCATAGTATCTTTATCCAACCATCAGTCAAAAGACGCTTAGGTTGTTTCTATGTCTTGGTTATTGTGAACTGAGTTACTTAGTCATATTGGTCTTGTGGGCCTTCCTTTTAAGTTCCTCTAGATTTTCAATTAGAAAGTGTCTTCCTGTTAGTCTATTTACACAGTTCCTTCGGAATCTCACAGTTAAAGAATTCACATTCTAAGTTTTGAGTCTACTCTAGAAAGTACCCTTGAAATTAGAGTAGCAATTCCCAAAGTATGTTCAGGGCCCCTAGGAGTCTCAGAGATCAACGCAGGGAATTTTCAAAACCATTTTCACAAAATATAAAAACTTTGTCTTTGTCACTGTGCCGACATGTATTCTGATGGTAGAAAAACTGGTTTGGTGCCTTAGTACAAATCAAAGCAATGGACCAAATAATGATATTTATATTTTTTGTTTGTTTTTAACTCACTGGCAATTTTTTAAAAAGCCCTGGCTGGTGTGGCTTTATTGATTGGGCTTCAACCCATACCTATAAACTGAAAGGTTGCTGATGAGTCTTTAAGGTATTTTGTGTACAATATCATGTCATCTGTGAATAATGAGAATTTTACTTCCTCCTTTCTAATTTGCATACCTTTTACTTCTTGTCTGATAGCTATGGCTAGCAATTCCAGTACTATGTTGAATGAGAGAAAGCGAACATCCTGTCTTATTCTTGTTCTTAGGGAAATGCTTTTAGTTTTTGCCCATGAGTATAATATTGTCTGTCAGCCTGTCATATATGGCCTTGTTGAGTTATGTTCTCTCTATTACCACTTTGCAGAGAGTTTTTATCAAAAATGGGTGTTTGAGTTTGTTGAATGTTTTTTCTGCATCTGTATCATTTTCTGACTTCTCTCACAAAATCAATTCTAGGTAGACTAAGTGTCTAAATTTTTACAGAAAATATAGAGAATATCATAATGATTTTGGAGTGGATAAGGATTTTTAAGTCCAAACCAGAATGGAAAACTAATTAATTTGACTATATTGAAATCAGTTACTTCTCTATAACAAAAGACACCATAAAGTGAAAAGACAAGCCACAGATATTAGTAACATATATATTCAACAAAGGGTTTATTTTTAAAATATATAAAAAAACTTCAAATCTATAAGATAAAGACAAAATCCTTAAATTCACAATGAAATATCATTTCATACTCAACAGATTGGCAAGAACTAAAGTACGCTTGTCAATGTGAAGAATAGTTGAGAAAGTGGAGCAATGGTAATTCTCATACTCAGTTGCTATGGATATAAATTAGATAGTCACTTTGGAGAGCAACTTGGTAATATCTGACAAAATTGAGGCTGTCCATACTCTTACAACACTGTGTCTTTCAATCTGGCAAATCACAAATTTATAGGTTGTAAAGTCTATTTAATGGGTCACAACTAGTATTTTTTTAAATGAAGTATAGAATAAACTATACATTGCATGTAGCAAAGATTGAGTATTATATCACAGACTTTTTTCACTTTTATATTGAGTGCTAGGTAAAATGTATTTCATACTGTTAAAAAAAAAGGGAGGGGCTGTCTTTGAGAAGCTCATTTACATGTATTCGAGATAAGTATTGGAATTTTCTCATGTATAATAGCAAAAAACTGCAAGCAGCTAAAAGATCCATTAAGATAATGAATAAATTGTGGAATGTTCATGAATAAAATACTACACAGTGAAAATGAATGAAGTAGAGTTGCATGTCAATATGGATGTCTCTCAAAACAATGTAAAAAAAAAAAAAAAAAAAAAAAAAGCAAGCACATATGTAGAACATATTGTTTATCTGAAGTTTAAAAACATGCAAACTAGGCCCTGGCCAGGGAGCTCAGTTGGTTAGTGTTGTCCTGAACACCAAGGATGTAAGTTCAATCCCTGATCAAGGCACATACAAAAATCAAACCATGAATTCATAAATAAGTGGAACGAGAATTTGATGTTTCTATCTATCTATCAATCTGTCTCTATTTCTATCTTACTCTCTTCCTCTCTCTCTCTCTCAAATCAATCAATAAAATTTTTTTAAAAAACATGCAAGCTATTATACATTGTTTACACATACTTAAATATGTAATTTTAACATCGATGAGAGAGAAACATCAATCAGGTGTGTCCTGCACAGCCCCTACTTGAAATATTTCAAATAAAAATGAGAAAAGAGGCAGTTATTTAAAAAGTAATTTAGCCGAAACCGGTTTGGCTCAGTGGTAGAGCATTGGTCTTCGGACTGAAGGGTCCCGGGTTTGATTCCGGTCAAGGGCATGTATGTTGGTTGCAGGCACATCCCCGGTGGGGGTTGTTCGGGAGGCAGCCGGTCGATGTTTATCTCTCATCGACGTTTCTAGCTTTCTATCTCTCTCCCTTCCTCTCTGTAAAAAAATCAATAAAATATATTTTAAAAATAAAAATAAAATAAATAAAATAAAAAGTAATTTAAAATAAACAGTGGGACAGGAGAACACTGAAGCACCAAATGGAGGCACCAAGTTTGGCTGCAAAGAGAAGCAGAGAAATGGGATGTTAACTAGAAGGGCTGTATTAGTAAAAAGAAGGAATTTTTTTTTTCTTTTTTAAAATGGATAAAATATAGAGCATGTTGGTATATTTCTAGGAAAGAACAACGGGAAGAAGATCAGTGATTTCAGCAGTAAAGGGATAACAAATAAGAGCAAAGGCCTAGACTATTGCCTACCTCGTTTCTCAGCAGCCAGTCTTCCTTTCTTCTATATTGTCCTCTTCTCCACAGCCCACTTGGTCCTTCTAAGACAAAGCTTTGCTTGTGTTACTCTGTCTCTGTCCTGGAGAAAACTTCCATGACCCCCCATCACTTGTGTCCTAGAGCTCACTCCTCAGCCTGGCACTGGAGACTCTTCCCAGTTTGTCCTCAGTTTGCCTTTCCAGTCCTATCTCTTCTCACTCTTCCCTGAACACACCCAAACCATGTCACGGATGTTTTGGCTCCCACTTTGGTATGTGCCTGCCTTAACTGTGCTTGGGACATTCTTTCATCTTCATTTTGTTTTTATTTCCATGTAATTTTTTCTTAAATATACCCAACCCACATTGGCTTAGCTCTGAACTCTGCAATGTGGAGTATTTTTGTTGCACTTGGTACCTGTGTGCTGCCTTGTATTTTTAGTCATCATCATCATAATGTAATAAGAGTATGGCTCTGAGGATCACAGACTTGGGTTTTTCTATTTCACATTTGTATAAAAATATGTGGTTGATTTTCTAATAGCAAACAATATAAACAAATACATATGGGGTGGGGCAAAAATAGGTTTACAGTTGTGAGTACACAAAACAATTTATTCTAATATTATTTTTATTGATTATTATTTTCCATATGAATAACTAAACCTTTTGCCACACGCTGTATAATAAAAAGTAAAAGTCCCCTTCCATATTCACACTTTGTCCATTCTCCTCCCCTGGAATTGACAACTGAGAAAGATTGGTATATAGTCAATATGTATTTTCCAGGCAAATGCAAATCTAGAGAAAAAAGATTTGTATTTTCTTAATTGAATGATAAATAGTTCAATAGCCTGTTTGTTTATTGAACAGGCTATTATGAGTCCTTTCACATTGACATATACAAGTCTACCTCGTTTTTTAAAAAATAAGATAAGGAAAAAAATAAATAAATAAGATAAGGATATCCAAATGTATTTAACTTGATGGATATTCAGATTATCTCAAAGCTTTTTTTTTTTTTTTAAATATGCTTTTATTGATTTCAGAGGAAGGAAGAGGGAGAGTTGGAAACATCAATGATGAGAGAGAATCATTGATTGGTTGCCATTTGTACACCCCCTAATGGGGATCAAGACCAAAACCTGGGCCTGTGCCCTGACCGGAAATCAGTCATGACCTCCTAATTCATGGGTCAATGCTCAACCACTGAGCCACACTGACCAGGTGATTATCTCCAGGTTTTGTTTCAGTTTTTGTTTTTGACCTCCAATTTTAAACTATGTTTATAAACTATGCTGTGGTGGCTATCCTTGTTCCTACATTCTTGTACAATGTCTAAGACAGTTTCCTAAAATTGAATTGGTTGGGTTAAAATTGATTTTGTTTTGAATCCTGGCTTTCCCAGCTTAGTTACTTTAAACAAATCAATTCATCTCAATCTGTTACCTCATCTGTAAAGAGGAAATATAATAATTCAGAGTTTTATGAAGATTATATGACCTAAAACACACCAGCTGTCAGGAAATTTTAATTTCCTTTTTTCTAAAAGTTGTCTTTCCAATTAAAAAGTAAGCTTCAGCCGAAACCAGTTTGGCTCAATGGATAGAGTATCTGCCTGCGGACTGAAGGGTCCCAGGTTCAATTCTGGTCAAGGGCATGTACATTGGTTACGGGTACATCCCTGGTAGGGGGTGTGCAGGAGGCAGCTGGTCGATGTTTCTCTCTCATAGATATTTCTAACTCTATCCCTCTCTCTTCCTCTCTGTAAAAAAAATCAATAAAATATATATATTTTTTAAAAGTAAGCTTCAGCCCTAGCTGGTTTGGCTCAGTGGATAGAGCATTGGCCTGCAGACTGAAGTGTTCCAGGTTCAATTCCAGTCAAGAGCACATGCCTGTGTTGTGGGCTTGATCCCCAGTAGGGGGCATGCAGAAGGCAACCAATCAGTGATCTTCTCTCAGCACTCATGTTTCTCTTTTTCCCATTCGATTCCTCTCTGAAATCAATAAATATATTTTTTTTAAAAAAGTTAAGCTTCATGAGGATAGGGATGCCTAAGATCTACACATAGGTCATGATACTCTTATTATACTGAGTGAGACTCAGAAAGTTACCAAAACCGGTTTGGCTCAGTGGATAGAGCATCAGCCTACGGACTGAAAGGTCCCAGGTTCGATTTTGGTCAAGGGCATGTACCTTGGTTGTGGGCACATCCCCAGTAGGGAGTGTGCAAGAGGCAGCTGATCGATGATTCTCATCGATGTCTCTAACGATGTCTCTCCCTTCCTCTCTGTAAAAATCAATAAAATATATTTTAAAAGAAAGAAAGAAAGGAAGGGAGGGAGGGAGGGAGGGAGGGAGGGAGGGAGGGAGGGAGGGAGGGAGGGAGGGAGGGAGTTATTCAGTTGCCAAAATGTTTTCCTTAACCCACTTTTATAACTTTTTAGGATCGCCAAGGACCCAAGATTTGAACGATTACCGTGCACACATAAAGGAACCTATGCAGATGACTGCTTAGTACAGAGAGTAACTCAGGTATTGTCAGTTTTTAAATGCTTAATGTGCTTAAAACAAAAAGAAAGAAGGCAAACTATTGTCTCCTGAATGTTCATGGTCAGAAAAGTAGCTAGGAATATAAATGGTAATGTAATATATATACACGTGTGTGTGTGTGTGTGTGTGTGTGTGTGTGTGTGTGTGTGTGTCATGGTCAGAAAAGTAGCTGCGAATATAAATGGTAATGTAATACACACAGACACACACACACACACACACACACACACACACACACACACTACTGTGTTTTCTTGAAAATAAGACATCCTCCGAAAATAAGACCAACTTCCAGGTTTCCTTCTGAGTGAAATATAAGGCATCCCCCTGAAAATAAGGCCCCCCTAGGCTAAACATGAGAGATTTGGTCCACTGATTCTGAAAGAAATGGAGTCATAAGAAATTCACCAGGAAATTCAGGAATTGGATTGTTATGATGATGTTCCAGAAGATGATGACATCTTGATACTGTAGGATTCACAGTTTGTCTGGTTTGTGTTGACAACTACCGTACTACCGTACCGTATACAGGTAATAAATTTCCTTTATTTTCATTTAACAATAAATGTGTACTGTATTCTTCTTCATGGAAAAATAAGACATCCCCTGAAAATAAGACCTAGCGCATCTTTGGGAGCAAAAATTAATATAAGACACTGTCTTATTTTCAGGGAAACAGGGTAGTAGCCCTACACACAAATCTGTGCGCAAATTGCCACGTGCCTCAGCTGGCCACCCCACCCTCCTGTAGCTCTCTGTTGGTTGTTATGTGTCAAAGTGTAACAACCATTTTTTTTTTATATACTTTATTGATTTTGCACAGAGAGGAATTGAGAGGGATAGAGAGTTAGAAAAGTCGATAAGAGAGATACATCAACCAGCTGCCTCTTGCACATTCCCTACTGGGGATGTGCCCGCAACCAAGGTACGTGCTCTTGACCTGAATCGAACCTGGGAACTTTCAGTCTGCAGGCCAACGCTCTATCCACTGAGCCAAACCAGTTTCAGCTATAACGACCATTTGCATATTACCTCTTTATTATATAGGAGATATCTATATATCTATATATCTATATAGATATAGATATATATAGATATATATCTATATATATCTATATAGATATAGATATATATAGATATAGATATATATAGATAGAGAGAGAGAGAGAGATTGATTGATTGAGAATCCCTTCATAGTAATCATAGGTGCCTTTATTTACTTGAGGAAGTGAATTAGAAATGTATACCATAACATACTGAAAAGATCATGGCTTTCAAATATTAGCACCTGTATTTATTAGGTATGTGATTTGGGACACTTACTAATTCTTTATTCCATAAATCTTTTCTATAAAATGATTCAAGCGAATAAGTATAGATAATACATTTGGCCTTTGAATAGCGCCAGGGTTAGGGGTTTGACCCCCTGTGCAGTTGAAAATCTGTGTTATTGTCTAACTTTTACCCCCAAAAACTTAAGTTGTCCTTAGTTATCTATGGGGGATTGGGTTCCAGGACCAAAATCTATAATGTTCAAGACTCTTATATAAAACTAGTGCCCTGGTGCACGAATTCGTGCACAGTGAAAGGAAATTAATTAGAAGGTGTCCTGTGGGGTGGGACTGGGCAAGAAGGGTCAGACATGCCCTGGAGCCAACCTCCCATGGTCCCTTCCCAGCTGGCTGCACTTGGGGCAGTGCCATGGCTTGAAGGGCATCTGCGCAGTGAGCGGGGTTCCTGCAGTGAGCGGGGTTCCTCCGGCAGGTGGGGTCCCTCAGTCTGGCCTGCAGGGATCGGTTGAAACCAGTTCTCCGACATCCCCGGAGAGGTTCCGAATTGAGAGAGGGCGGTTCTCGGTGACTCATCCTGGGGATCAGGCTCCCTCTCACTGGTTCCGGGGTGCATCACCCGAGAACTGCTGCTACCAAATCACCGCAGCTCAGCAGCTCCCTGGTGGTCAGTGCCTGTCATACCTCCTGACTGGTCAGACGGTCAGTTAGCCTTTTAAGAGATAGATAGATAAATAGATAGATAGATAGATAGATAGATAGATAGATAGATAGATAGATAGATAGATGGTGCAGATCAATGCATACAGTCTGCCCTTCACATTTGCAGACTCCTAACTGCAGAGAAAAAACAATACAGCTATTTATTGGAGAAAAAAAATCCACGTGTAAGTGGACCCAAGCAGTTGAAACCCATGCTTTTCAAGGGTCAGCTTATACCAGATTTCACCTCTATGTGAATCTAAAATAAGGTTCCATTCCACTTATTCCCCACGAAGGAATTTTGTTCCTCTCTACCATGTCCAACCCAGAAGCATTTCTCAGTTGCATCTAAGTCTCACAGGGTTCTCTCTCACAAGGACCTGAGAATCAGTTGGTTTTTTGTTTCTCGGCAGGCACCACAAGAACTTCTGTTACTGTTTGCCCTTATAAGAGCCTCTCTAGGCTGAGGGTAATCATCTTCATTGGATGACCACATTGCCATCCCCTTAGCAACTCCATTCATGACGTGTCCAGCATTTCCCTTAATTTCCCACAGCTCAGCTGACATCAGGCTACAACTCTTTATAAAACTCAATGGGAGGTTTGAGTATGATGGAAGTAAAGTGCAACATAAATTACCTCCTCCTTACACATTGCTTTCAGAGTTGTGGGGCTTAGACTTGTCCTGGAGATCCTAGTCTGGCTTCAGGAGCCAGAGGGTAGCCTACCTCCACCACTAGAAGGCCTCAGAGTAGGTTACAATCCTGGGAAAGGCAGAAGCTGTGCCCTCCAATCTAAGGCACTTACTCTGCCTTTGCATAGAGTCCCTTGGGGCATTTTCCCAAAATCAAGGAATTTTCTACCCCAGGTGTAAAAATCATTTCCACTTATGACCCCAAAAAAATGGTTTGCAGCTTTTATCTTTTCTGTCTTCTCCCCCTCAAGGTTCTCAGAGTTATATTCAGCCCTGGGCAACTTAGTAAAATGTTTTTAAACATGACCTCCTTAGCCGAAACCGGTTTGGCTCAGTGGTAGAGCGTCGGTCTGCGGACTGAAAAGTCCCGGGTTCGATTTCGGTCAAGGGTATGTACCTTGATTGCAGGCACATCCCCGGTAGGAGGCAGCTGGTCGATGTTTCTCTGATTGACGTTTCTAGCTCTCTATCTCTCTCCCTTCCTCTCTGTAAATATCAATAAAATATATTTATAAATAAATAAATAAACATGACCTCCTTAATCATAGTATCTCCTCAACAAATTGTTATAACCTTTGCTATGTACTGTGAAAATGAATTAATTCTTCAGACTCCAGCAGTGGTTGTGCCATTATAGTATCACTAAGTAGACTCAATAAACTCTTATGTGTTTCTCTTATAGCACAAGTGTTATATTGTGGCCACAGTTGACCGGGACCTTAAACGAAGAATCAGGAAGATCCCTGGAGTTCCCATCATGTACATTTCTAACCACAGGTGAGGACTTACTCATGGGGAAGTGATTAAAAGCATATAGTTGATGTCAATTAAAAATGAGGTCAGATTATAGAAGAATTTAAAAGAGATTGTTGTATCAAATACTTACTAGTACATAGTTGTATTTGGAAACGTAAGACAAAATAACAAGAAAAAGGGCAAAAGATAAGATTTAGAAATGAGGCAGACATTCACATTGTTACAATATGATAAACAGAGAAATAGAGTGACATGTTGCCTTAAATGCAAAGCAGTAATTTAAATCACTCTAATCTTTTTTACCAGAAATTTTTATTTTAAAAGCCAACTGTATGTGATTAGCACCCCTCTGGGAAACTAAATGCCTATTTTTTATTTTTATTTTCAAGCTGCTCTTTATCCTTCTTGGATGTTCCCATGTCAGTCGTCAGACTATTACTGCCCAGCCTCTCAGCCTGCAGAGAGCACAATATAGAGGGAATAAAATTGGGTAGGGAGTGGCACTTACCTGGACTCAGTGCCCAGCTCTCACATTGGTAACTTTCTGACTTTGAAGAATAAAGAAAATATAGTCAGCATTTTGCTTCAAATCACTCACTATGATTTCCCTTTAAAATGTTCCAACTGACAAAAAGGATTCACAGTGAGGGGGTGAGAGTATTGCAGTCGTGAGGGGATAAGAGTGTGGGTTTTTAGGTGGCTATTGGACCCACCCTTCTTACCAGTGTTATTTATTTATTTTTTTTTTTTCTGATTAGGTACAACATTGAGCGGATGCCAGATGATTATGGAGCCCCTCGGTTCTAATACTTAAAGACAAAGTTTCTCTGCTTTCCTTCAAACAACTATCTCTGTTGAAGATTTTTATTAAACATGCTACAACATGCGTTATTGCTCCACTCACACATTTGCTGTTATGAACTGAGAACAGTTAAATATACTCAGTTTTTGGTGGTGTTTTGAAAATAATACTGATGTTTTGAAAATGGTATTTTGTGTCATTTAAAATTTTGTCACATATTTTTATAAATCATGACTGCTCACAATTTCAGTGGTTGTTTTATATTATTTACTCAACAATACTTATTAAAGTCATACTCCATATTTAATATGATATGGTCTTACCCCCAAGACACTCTTATTATGTTGGGAAAGGGAAACATGTAGATGAATAACTACAGTAAAATAATGATGCTAGGATAAAAGAATGACAACTTGACACAAAAGAGGAAAGAATGATTTCTTTCTACTTAGTTGGAAAAGGGAGGGAGGAAAGGCTAGAGGTAGTAATGTTTGAGTTAATCTTTAAAAATAAATAGGTGCTTGCCTAATGAGGTAAAGAAAATTAGGTGCAGGAAACAAACAAAAGCATGGAGACAGATATTACATGGAATGAATGTGTTTCACCTGTCAGACAGCTGCCAGGCGATTCTTATAACTAGAACATAGGGGTAAGTTATCTGTACCACATCTGGGACTCTAGAGGTACGAGGTGGGAGGGAGGGGGGCCTCATGTTATTTTATTGATTTTTCACAGAGAGGTAGGGAGAGGAGAAAGATAGCTAGACACACCGATGAGAGAGACATCGACCAGTTGCTTCCTGCACACCCCACACCAGGGATGTGCCTGCAACCAATGCACATGCCCACGACCAGAATCGAACCCGGGACCCTTTAGTGCGCAGACCGACACTCTATCCACTGAGCCAAACCAGTTTTGGCAGTGAAGAATTCTTGACACAATGCACAATGGCATTATTTCCAAGGCCATTTATAGACTTGTTCTGTATGTTGATTGTTGTGATGGTTATTACTCAAATATATTGATTTGTCCAAATGCATTGAAATGTACATAAAATGGGTGCATTTAAAAATATATTTTTATTGATTTTAGAGAGAGGAAAAGAGAACTCATTGATGAATTAGAAACATCGATGAAAGCAACATCAATCAGTTTCTTCCCATATGCACCACAACTGGGGATGGAATCCACAACCTGGGTTTGTGCCCTGACCTGGAATAAAACCAGTAACCTTCCATGCACAGGGCATTGCTCAACCAACTGTGTTACAATGGCCAAGGCAAAATGGGTGCATATTACTGTATGTAAATTATACTTCAGTAAATTATAATAAAAGATAGAAAAGGCATGCAAGAGCCCTAACCTATGTGGCTCAGCTGGTTGAGCATTTCCCATGCACCAAGAGGTTGCCGGTTCAATCCCCAGTGGTCGGGGCACGTGCACAGTTGCACACTCAATCTCCAGTCGGGGCACATTCAAGAAGCAACCGATTGATATTTCTCTTTCTCTCTAATAGCAATAAAGACATCCTCAGGTGATGATTAAAAGGAGTGGGGGGAGGAGGTGGTGGTAAAATACTTAGGAGTTGTACATTGAAAATTGCTAAAAGACAATACAAAGAAATGAAATGATATCCTGATAGAATAATAAATGTTGCAGATATTTAAAAAGAAAAGACATCTACAGATTCTCTGTAATTTCTATCAAAATCCCAATGACATTTGTTGGAAGAAATAAAAAAACATGCTAGAATGTATGTGGAATCTTGAGATACCAAATGCCAAAACAATCTTGAAAAAGAACAAAGTTGAAGGCTTCACACATCCTTATTTCCAGACTCTTCTATAAAGCAATAGTAATCAAGACAGAGATATAGACCGATGGATCAGAATAGAGAGCCCAGAAAAAACTCTTGCAGATAATGTCAAGTGATTGTCAACAAGGGTGCCAAGACTACACAATAGGCTAAGGACAGTCTATTCAGCGAATGATACTGGAAAAATTGGATGTGCACATAAAAAGAATGTTTGAGTCACCTTATACCATACACAAAAATTAATTCAAAATAGGTTTAAGACCTAAAACCATAAAACTAGAAGAAAACATAGGAGGGAATCTTCAGGACATTGGGTTTGACAATGATTTCTTGACTATGACACCAAAAGCACAGTCAACAAATGCAAAAATAGTCAAATGTGACTGCATCAAATTTAAAAGCTGTGCGCCAAAAGGAAACAATAGCAACTAATGGAATGGGAGAAAATATTTGAAAGTCATGTGTCTGATAAACTCAGGGAATTGGTGTAGCCTTATATTCTGTCTTCAAAATAGGTTTCCACTCTTCACAGATTAGTTCCCAGTTGGGCTCTTGGTTATAATGGAATTAAGCCTATTTATTTAATTTGATATGAATTTGACATCTTTACAATTTTTCCTCTTTTTATTCAGATCACGGTAAGCCTCTTCATTATTTCAAGTCTAATTGCCCACTGGGTTTCTCTTGATGTTTCTTGAAGGGCTGTCTAGGAAGGCCTCACAGAGACTGGAATGTAGTTCAGAAACTGGATGGGTAATATTCTTTTTCATCTGGGTGCCGGTTACACAATTGTGAATATTCACTAAGCTGTGTGCTTACGATGTATAATTTTTTAATTTTTAAAAATATTTTATTGATTTTTTTTTTTTTTTTTTTTACAGAGAGAAAGGGAGAGGGAGAGAGAGCTAGAAGCATTGATGAGAGAGAAACATCAACCAGCTGCCTCCTGCACACCCCCTACTGGGGATGTGCCTACAACCAAGGTACATGCCCTTGAAGGAATCAAACCTGGGACCCTACAGTCCGCAGGCCAACATTCTATCCACTGAGTAAAATTGGTTAGGGCTAATTTTTTTTATTGTTGTTAATCCTCACCCGAGGATATTTTTCCATTGATTTTTCATAGAGAGTGAAAGGGAGGGGGTGAGACAGAGAGTGAAACATCAATGTGAGACACCCTGACTGGAATCCATTTGCCAGCTCTCAGTAGATGGCTCACACTCTATCCACTGAGCCAAACCAGCCAGGACAAGATGTGTAATATACACACACACACACACACATTTATTACATATATATATGTAATATACACTTCAGCAAAAAGTTAAAAGAAACAAATTCCATTTTGAGAATGAGCAGCTCTTTCTTATGATGAATATTTAGATTTCCCACTTTGCACTCACATCCACCTCCAAAGACAGATAAAGATCTGGGTTGCTCATTAGGAAGCAGGGTCAAATCTTTAAATGGCGCACAATTTAATATTCTCAGAGTTAGGTAGCATTTTCAGGATTCAGTGTGTATCAGCTTTGTTTTTCAGTGATTTATTCAAGCAACAGGAGTTCACGTTTAGTATTTTGCTGAGAGATTGGGTTATAATGTAGGTCGGCCTCTCTAGACAATCTTTGTATCTGTTCTTCGCTATCTTTGCTTTTAGCTGAGACTCTCTCACATGAGTTCTTATGTTGAATTATTGTGAAGAATTCAATCTCTCCCCTTTTATAACTGCTGGTGTTATCTTTCAGATGCCTGCAGGAATTGGTGTAGTCTTATACTCTGTCTTCAAAATACATTTCCACTCTTCACAGATTTGTTTTCAGCTGGGTTCTTTGTTATAATGGAATTAAGCCTATTCATTTAATTTGAGACGAATTTGACATCTTTACAATTTTTCCTCTTTTTATTCAGATCACGGTAAGCCTCTTCATTATTTCAAGTCTAATTTTATCCCACTCGGATAGGATTTTGTATGGCTCCGTAGTTTTCTTCGTATAAACTCTACATATGTCTTATCGGAGGTATTTCTATGTGTTTCATGTTTGTTTGTTTTTTCTTTTTTGTTGCTGTTGCGATTGTCGATGGAACCTTTTTAATTTTTAATTTTTTTTCCCCCCATTCAAAAATGAACTCCGTGGAGCAATAGGATCTCTACCACCATCCCTTTCCGCGGGGAGACTCTATGGTTCCTCCGTGCTATGACCGCGTTCTACTCGCGCCTACAGTATCCGAACCTGAAGGAAGGTGGCGACCGAGAGTTGCCAAGCAAAGGGCCCCTCTAGCTCGCCTTTGTTCTCCTCTCTGTGGCTACTGCGCAGGCGTAATCGCCCCAGTGCCGACCCCGCCTTCCCGGTCGTGGGCCCAGCTCGGGAGCGCCGGCGCACTGGCGCGCTCCGCTCACACGCTCCGGGGCCTGTAGGCGCCGCGAGTTCCGGCTGTCGCCGCCGCCGCCGCAGCTCCTGGAGGTCGGTTGCGACGAGTAACGGTGCTGGGACGAGCCCTGCGCCTTCTTAGATATGTACCCGAGCTGGGGCCGATATGGCGGGAGCAGCCACTATCCGCCGCCGCCGGTCCCGCCGCCGCCGCCGGTGGCGCTTCCTGAGGCCTCGTCCGGGCCTGGGTACTCGAGCTCGACGACTCCCGCGGCCCCCTCCTCCTCGAGCTTCATGAGCTTCCGCGAACAGCACTTGGCTCAGCTCCAGCAGCTGCAGCAGATTCACCAGAAGCAAATGCAGTGCGTGCTCCAACCCCATCACCTTCCGCCGCCCCCGCCGGTGATGCCCGGGAGCGGCTACGGAGACTGGCAGCCGCCGCCGCCACCGATGCCCCCGCCACCGGGGCCGGCCCTCAGCTATCAGAAACCGCAGCAGTACAAGCACCAGATGCTGCACCACCAACGAGACGGGCCTCCCGGTTTGGTTCCCATGGAGCTGGAATCCCCTCCTGCATCGCCCCCTGTGCCGCCAGGGTCCTATATGCCCCCGTCCCAGTCTTACATGCCCCCACCTCAGCCGCCACCCTCGTACTACCCGCCGGCCTCGTCTCAGCCCTACCTGCCTCCCGCCCAGCCGTCCCCTTCTCAGTCCCCACCTTCCCAGTCCTACCTGGCGCCCACTCCTTATCCTCCCTCTTCCTCCTCGCAATCCTACGGGAGCCGTTCCCAGTCCTACTTGCCCCCTTCTCAGGCATCTCCTTCCCGCCCTTCCCAGAGCCATTCTAAATCCCCGCTGCTAGCTCCTCCACCACCATGCACCGCTGCTGGGAATAAGTCAGCTGTCCAGCAAGAGCCTTTGAAGAGTGGTGCCAAGAACAAGAATGTTGAACAGCATCAAGCTGCCCCTGAGCCAGATCCTTCTAAGATGACTCCACAGGTAAGAGAGCAGGTGCCGGAGCCTCACCTTTTCACCTCGAGGGCCCTAAGTGAGCAGGCCTCCCTCCGGGCTTTAACCGGTGCTTAGCCTAATTGTGACACTGTGTGACTAGCTAATGCGCGCTCCAAAGGATTCCCTGAAAGTCCGCGGTCTGACTGCTCCGCTTTTTAAATTACCTAAATGTAGATTATTAAAACTGAAAATGTTTCTAGACACCACAGAGTAGTGAGGTGGCTCAAAAGTTACTTCTTAGATGTATTCCTTGGTTCCCTTTGACCGACTTCTTAGATTTTGTTGCTTTTGCAAATTGTATTTTAAAATGCTTAAAAATTGTATTTTAGACTAAAATTTCCCTTTGAGAGACAGCATAAAAAAAAAAAAAAGCTTCCGAAAGAACTGACACCTGAAATGCATATGAACTTTATGACCAGTTAGCTTCTTTAAAAGAATTTTTTAGGGGTCACAGACAGCTATCAGCTTCCTGAATTAAAAGGCCTCACCAATTGAAGGATTGAAATCGTGTGCTTATCAGGAGCATCCTAATTATGCTCAAATTATTTATATATATATATATATATATATATATGCAATATATAGGGGAGTCTACACATTTGACCCTTTGGGGAGTCGATCGGTCATGTTAAGAAATTGACCCATACATGCTTTTCTCACATCACTTAAAGATTTAAGACATGACCAATTTGCTGTATTGCATTGGTGTTATCATTCATTCCAGAGTAACAGCCTTGGGATTTGGCCAATGTTAAAAAAAAAAAAAAAATGTGTGATGCCTCTTCATTCATGAGAGAGCCATTCCTCTAAACATCTATTTGAACTGATGCTTCCCAGAGAACGGTCAAAGACAGATAGGATAGCAGTAATAAGTTCTTCCCTTTAGAAAGAAGATAGAACTGAAGTGGATAAATTGTTTCTTATGATTTCCTAAAATAGACTTTTAGCACTTCCTATGGATAATCTACCTTAGATTTCCTAATGAATCAAAAGATCCTTTTAATTTACAAACTCAGATTTACATATCAAAGATTTCCAAAAAGATTGGGATGAAGTATTTGAATATTATAGTGGTTTGGCATTAGAAATTAAGAACAGAAATAAGTTGTTTTAAGGAAGCAAAACAACTTCTTTGGCACATCATCAGGAGAAAACACTTAAGGTGCTGGGGTAAAATAGTAGAGGAAGGGATTCTGTTGGCTCACGCTAGAGTACCATCCCACCAGGTTATTTCCCCCAGATTCCTCTATTTTAGAGACAGAATTTGTCTCCTTCCCCACCCCACTCTGAAATTTCCAGTATTGTTGTCAAACACTGCGTTAATTCAAAATATGACCTTTATATCTTCATACTGGACTGTTTTTCTGGCCTTTTAGAGAAATAAATTGTTTTATTGGGTGGGGGGAAGGGGATCAAACCTGTCCTTAATATAATACCATGAGCACTGCTTTTGCTTTTCTGCCTTTGTACCCTTGTATATAGTGGACTTGTTTTAGTGCTTTGAATATTCAGTGCCACCAGTTCTTTGGTGAGAGACATAAAGAAAGCAGTCGGAAAGAAAGCTATTAAAGATGAGAAGTGTGAATGGACTAATTATCAAAACAGGCATTGTAAGCCTGTTTAGGCTTTCCTACCTCTACCCTAGAATTCATCCCAACTTCCTCAATCTTTTTTTCCTCCCTATAGTTGTATTGCTTTCAAGGCACATCTCACATAGCCAATTAAATGGCTGAGCTGTTAAATCATGCCCCAGCTCAGCCATTTAATTGGTTCTGTTCTTCAGATTGTAAGTCCCTTGCAGACAGGGACTATCTCACTCTCTTTTTATCTCCTGTAGCACCTAGGACAGTACCTTGCAAATTGTAGGCTCTCCACAAAGATTTGTTGAGTAAGATACAAGAGTTGCATATCCTAGACTTAGGATGCTTTGGTTTATTAGGTGGTAAATATTTTCTTCATGCAAATCTCAGATAATTAATCCCATGGCATATTTTTCTTTGATTTATATTCTATTTTTGGAAAATGTCATTTAAAATGTGGAAGATTTTAAACATACAGAAGTTCCCACTCCCCCAATCCACAGTTTTGCTTTACTCCAAACATATTAAATGGAAAATTCCAGAAATGCTCAATTGACTGTGCTGTTCTGAGTAGTGTTTTGAAATCTTGCTCCATTCTGTCCATCCTTCCTGGACATGAACTATTCCTTTATCCAGCATTTCCACCCTGTATCAACTACTTATTTATTTGCCCATTAGTAGCCCTCTTGGTTAATAGATTAACTGTTGCAGTATTGCCATACTTGTGTTCAAGTAATCCTATTTTACTTAATGGATGCAAACACAGGAATAAAATATTAGCAATTTGGAAATGCCAGAGAAACTGTCAGATGCTTCTTTCAAGTGGAAAGGTGAAAGTTTTCGAGTTAATAAAAAAAGGGGGAAAAATGACATGGTCAGGTTGCTAAGATCTATGGCAAAAACAAATCTTGTATTCGTGAAATTGTGAAGAAGGAAAAATATTTGTGGTAGTTTGCTGAGAGAGTCCACATTTATTATAACAGTATATTATTATAATTGTCCTATTTTATTGTCAGTCTCTTAGTGTACCTAATTTATAAATTAAACTTTGTCATAGACATGTATGTATAGGGGGAAAACAGTACGTATATAGTTCAGTACTGCCTGCAGTTTAGGCATCCACTGGGGGTCTTGGAGCGTATCTCCTTCACATAAAAGGGACTACTGTACACAAAAGTGAAAATGGTGTGATTCCTCCTCCCCATATACCCAACATTCAGATTCAACAACTCAAGAGTTGGCCATGTTTATTTTACCTAGGCCTTTTTTTTTGTTCTTGTTTCTGCTAAAATACTTTAAATCAAATCTTAACTCTCATGTCATTTCATCCTTATATTCTTAGACATCTTTCCAAGAAACAGAGCCTTAGATTAACACTGTAACACCTAGCAAAATTAACAACTGTATACCTGATCCATTCAGAGTTCCCTTACTGTCTCACCATATTAATGGAATTAAAAAATAAATCTTCATAGCATCCATGCTAAAATTCCCCAATAGATTTAATTGTGTTTGGTTAGTTTGTTCAAATCAGGATCCAATATAGATATTTTGGATAATTCTTTGCTGTGGGAGACTGTCCTATGCATTGTATTATGTTTAGCAGCAGCTCTGTCTCTCCCTACTATATGTTACCCTTTTCCCCCGAAAATAAGACAGTGTCTTATATTAATTTTTTCTCCCAAAGTTGTGCTAGGTCTTATTTTCAGAGGATGTCTTATTTTCGGGGAAACACGGTATTAGCAGCCCCTCGTTGTGATAACCAGAAATATTTTCAGACATTGCCAATATTCCTTGGGGGAGAAGTGGGAGGGCAAAATCACCCTCAGTTGAGAACACCAGATTTAACTCAATTTCTTCTGTTCTCTTTTTCTATCCCATGCTATTGAACTTGATGAAAAATCTGTTGGTTGTCCTGTAGAATGTCCTTCATTCTGGATTTGTCTGCTGTCTCATGGTGTCATTTGACTTATTCTTCTTTTTTCCATGTTTTTTGTAATGTAGAAGTTAACTCTGAAGTTCAACTTTAGATTTAAGCTCAACTTTCTTTTGGCAAGTGTACTTTATAACCTAGGTAATGCTGTGTACTTCATTTATATCCCATTAGGAGACACTCAATGCCTGGTTGTCCCACTGTTGGTGGTGCCAAGATTGATCAGGGGGCGGCAGTCTGGTCCCTCCACTGTAAAGCTTCCCATCAATTTTGCATGTTCCTTCCATCTAGTGGTTCATCCATTGATGTTCTTTGCCTGAGTAAGTTATTTCTTCATTAGAGGCTACAATGTGGTGATTTTTTTTTCGTGCCATTTCTTCTACATTTATTAAATAGAGTTCTGTAAAGAAATACTTTCACTCATGAACCATGATTGTTTGTTGGAAATACAGTTAGTATAGGAAAGACAGGATAAATGCTTGTTATCCTTCCATTTAGTTTCTGGTTTTCAGAGTAAAGCATTGTTGATTTAATGGAATGCATATTTTATCAATAATTAAATTTTCTATTTCTTTAATGGACTAACTAGGTAAAGTGCATATTAGCCTTTTTTCATGAGTTGTGATTTTATCCTTTTAGTCTCAAAACTTATTAGGGAAAAGCTGTTGAATTTTTTTTTTTTTTTTTTTTTGAGTTTTTAGTCCTTTATTTAATGTTCAAGTACTTTTTGAGTAGCAACTATGTGCCAGGTACTATGCTTAGTATTGAAGATGAAGTGGTAAACACCAGGCCTCATTGACTTGTTCTGATGGGGGAGTGGGAGGGGAGAAGAAGACATTTAAGTAACTAAGAGAAGAACAGGGTGTTATCACATTATAAAATACAAAATATAGGATTATAAAATACAAAATATCACTCACTTGTTCCATAAAGAATGGGGAAAGGTGAGGTGTGTGTGTTTTTTTTAAGCTCAGGACCCAGCACATAGTAAGTGAAAAACAAATTTTTTGGAGGGAGGTTTTTGGTTACCTCACAATTTCTTTTTTATTTTTTAAATTTTTTAAATTATTATTATTATTTATTTTACATATGTGTCCTTATTCCCCCATTACCCCTCATCCCCCTCTCATGCCCCATCCCCCTGTTATCTGTGTCCATTGATTAGGCTCATATGCATGCATATAAGTCCTTTGGTTGATCTCTCCCCCTAATCCCCACTGTCCTCTACCTTCCCTGAGGTATGACCTTATGATTGATATTTCTCTGTCTCTGGATCTATTTTTTTTTTCCATCAGTTTATGTTGTTCATTATATTCCACAAATGAATGAGATCATGTGATATTTATATTTCTCTGCCCGGCTTATTTCACTTAGCATAATGTTCTCCATCTCCATCCATGTTGTTGCAAATGATAAGAACTCCTTTTTTACCTCAACATAGCATTCCATAGTGTTTTTTAATCCACTCATCTGCT